ACTTAGAGGAAGCTGATGAAGTAAGTCGTGTGGTGGGAGGAGACACATTCAATAACCTCTAGTAAGTCGAGTGCTTGGAGGAAACACATTAAGTGTTTTTGAACAAGTGTATCATTGAATGTTATACTATTGTTGGAACCTGTTGATTTTCAATATATTGGATACAAAGTATTCCTAATGAACTTGATATACTAAATCATTTGTTATGTGATTTGAAACAGAAATTGGGTTAGGGATAATATCATTTGGCTTTTATCTTTGATAAGGGATTATTTGCCATGGGAAATGTAAGTACCTCAGAATTGTATGTTTCTTATGCTTTCACTGCTATTCTTGCTTGTTTAGAATTGTTATTCAGCTTTCGTTTCTTTTCTGGTCTCCTTCAGGTTCTTTTCATCTCTAAGGTTAGTTTAACCATTGGCCTCAAGTCTACCATGCAGTTTTTCATGATGCGTCAAAACTATAAGGTTAACCATTGAACTCAAGTCTACCATGCAGTTTTTCATGATGCGTCAAACTATAAGATTTGTTTGGTATCCACTTTTCTCTTCCTCGCCACCAATTATAGCTCAGTGAGACAGGGTGTTTTACGTATTTCTTTTTATGTTATCCACAACGGGAACCATATTTTTTGGAGCAGGCTACTTCTTTGTAGTCATGGGAATGATGTTGGAGACTTATGGCATTTTTGTACTCTTCAGGATCGTTTACTTGATTTTTTACCGGTAATGCATGTGGAACTTTAGACAGTTATTAACTGTGTTTTCTATTCATTGGTTTCTAGCCAACCTTGGTAGTTTTCCGACAAAATATACCGTCTGGATCATTTTGCAACCATGTATAAGAAAACATATGTGTCCAATCAAAGATACCGGCTGGATCATTCTGCAACCACAAAAGATCGGTATGTGTCCAATAAAAATTTGATGAAGAAGAAAGTTTTTTCAATTAGGCAAACATAAAATATAAAACTTTTCAATTAATCCATGTAAATTACACAATCTTGGTAATGCATAACTCTAATCAACATATTGAACTCGTATTCCAAATTCTAATGATTAATCTCACTTTGTTTTTGATGATCTTGAGCTTCTAGGCCTAGTGTTTTTTAAGTTTCCATCAACATCAACTAACACTCTGCCGCATATTCAACCAATTCTTAATTAACATCAATCGAACCAAAAAAAGAAATTATGTTAAATTTTGAATACATTGTAAAACTCTGAAAGGTGAAGAAGGGACATGAGTGACTGACCATGTATCGTATGAATAATGTTGAAACGATGACTGTGGCAATCGACCGTTACGACGGAGGACACCGGAGATACATTCTAATATCATGTCTCTCAAGAAGGCCTTTCCAAGAAATCAATAACATAAATTTTAGTATAAAATTTCCCAACTTACAAACACCTAAATTACTCGCACTTGCACTTGGTTCTATCAACCCTAGAATTATATATAGTATTTTTACAATATAAATTGAAACCCTAAACCATCTGAATCGATAATCACAGCGAAAGAAAGAAACAAAACTCACCTCGTCGTCATTAAGGG